TGGCTAGTTAAACATAATCCTCAAATAGACTGGATTAAGGGGTCTATTGTCTCATGGAATTTGTTCTGTCATGCAAATTGTCTTGTATCTGCTGTGTCTCCTGTCTCCTCTCCTTCTGTGTTACAGGAAGAGCCTGTAGATATTTCAGGTGTTCCTGAAGTTTACCACGATCTGCGAGCGGTCTTCAGTAAGTCCTGAGCCGAAGCTCTTCCCCCTCACAGACCATATGACTGCAGTATTGACCTCCTCCCAGGTACCACTCCACCTCGGGGGCGTCTTTTCGCCTTATCCGCACCCGAGAGAGAGCCGCTCGATAAATATTTATCCGAGTCTCTAGCCGCGGGTACTATAGTTCCGTCATCCTCCCCAGCCGTTGCTGGTTTCTTTTTTGTCAAAAAGAAAGATGGCTCTTTACGCTAATGCATTGACTACCGCGGACTTAATGAGATCACTATTAAGAATAAGTACCCTTTACCGCTTATGTCTACTGCCTTCGATATCCTTCAAGGAGCTCGCATTTTCACCAAATTAGACTTGCGCAATGCTTATCACCTTGTGCGAATTAAGGCTGGAGGTGAGTGGAAATCGGCGTTTAATACACCCTTTGGTCACATTGAATACCGGGTTCTTTCCTTCGGGCTGGTAAACGCTCCGGCTGTATTTCAGGCGCTCATAAATGACGTACTTCGCGATATGCTCAATATTTTTGTCTTCGTCTATTTAGATGACATCCTCATCTTTTCGCCAAATTTACCTACTCACACCCAACATGTACGCTGTGTGCTCCAACGTCTGTTGGAGAACCGTCTTTTCGTCAAGTCAGAAAAGTGTGATTTTCATACTCGCTCTGTCCCATTTCTCGGGTATATAATCTCGGATAAGGGTGTTAGTATGGACCCCGCAAAGCTTCGCGGCATTACCGATTGGCCCATTCCTGAGTCTCGCATCGCTCTCCAGCGTTTCTTGGGATTTTCCAACTTTTATCGTCGCTTTATTCGTAACTTTAGCCAGATCGTTGCTCCTCTCACGGCGCTTACATCGGCCAAGACTCGTTTCGAATGGTCTGATTCTGCGCAACAGGCGTTCGACCGTCTTAAAGGGATGTTCGCATCCGCCCCTATTCTCATCACCCCCGATCCCAAGAGACAATTCATAGTGGAGGTTGACGTCTTCGATGTAGGTGTAGGCGCCGTACTTTCCCAACGCTCCGCGGAAGATAACAAGGTTCACCCGTGCGCTTTCTTTTCGCATCGTCTCACTCCAGCTGAGTGCAACTATGATGTCGGTAATCGCGAACTTCTCGCCATCCGTCTCGCGCTCTGAGAATGGCGTCACTGGCTTGAGGGTGCCTCTATCCCGTTTATTGTATGGACAGATCACCGCAACCTCGAATATATTCGATCTGTTAAAAGACTTAACGCACGTCAAGCTCGTTGGGCACTATTTTTCAATCGGTTCAATTTCACCATTTCTTATCGCCCGGGCACCAAGAATATCAAACCGGATGCACTCTCCCGTCAATTTGCGGTTGTAGAAAATAAACCTCTCCCCGAACCCATCATACCTGTTGATATGGTAGTAGGGGCCGTATCCTGGAGTATCGAGAACTCTGTTAAAAGAGCGCTCACTCGCACCCAAGCTCCTCGTAACTGTCCGTCGGGTAAGCTCTTTGTCACCAGACCTTTACGCGCTGCTGTCCTCCGTTGGGGACACACTTCTAAATTAATGGCTCATCCAGGCATTAGGAGGATGTTAGCCGTCATCCGTCAACGTTTCTGGTGGCCCGCTATGATTCAAGACGTCCGACGCTTTGTCAAATCTTGCCACGTTTGCGCGCAGAACAAATCCAGTAATTCCGCAACCACCGGATTATTGCGACCTCTCCCCATCCCGTCTCGCCCCTGGTCCATATTGCGCTTGACTTCATAACAGGTCTTCCCCCGTCAAAAGGCAATACTGTTATTCTCACTGTCGTTGATCGCTTTTCTAAAGCGGCCCACTTTATCCCGTTGCCCAAGCTCCCTTCCGCCCGTGAAACAGCGCAAGTTATTATTAACAACGTGTTCAGAATTCACGGGTTACCAGTTGATGTCCTATCCGACCGCGGTTCGCAATTCACATCACAATTCTGGAGAGAATTTTGCAGACAGCTTGGGGCCTCTGTTAGTCTATCTTCAGGGTATCATCCCCAGACTAATGGCCAGACCGAAAGAGCTAATCAAGATCTAGGTCGAATACTTCTTTGTCTTGCCGCTCGTAACCCCTCTTCGTGGTGTGAACAATTGCCGTGGGCTGAATACGCGCATAATTCGCTACCGTCCTCATCTACCGGTTTATCACCATTTTCTTGTTGCCTCTGTTATCAAACGCCTCTTTTTCCTACTCAGGAAAGAGAAACCGCTGTTCCTTCTGTTCAAGCGTTTATACAACGCTGTAGGCGCACTTGGGAGAGTACGGTGTCCGCGCTCCGCCGCTCCGGTGAACGTATTCGACGTTCTGCCAATCGTCGCCGCACTCGTGCCCCTCGTTACGTCTGTGGGCAAAAGGTTTGGCTTTCCACTCGTAATCTTCCCCTTAAAGCCCCGTCTCGTAAATTGGTACCTCGCTTTATTGGTCCGTTCACTATTGATAAGATCATTAATCCAGCAGCTATCCGTCTTAAACTACCATCCTATTTGCAACGCATCCACCCGGTGTTTCATGTATCCTGTATCAAACCCGTTTTTCACTCTTCCTATAGTTCCCCTCCCTCCCCTTCTCCCCCATTGTTGTCGATAGTCCTCCTATCTACAAGTTACGGAAGTTGCTTGATGTAAGGCGCCGGGTTCGTGGTCAGCAGTTTCTGGTCAATTGGGAGGGATATGGTCCTGAGGAGAGAAGCTGGATACCGTCTCGGGACATCCTGGACCGCTCGCTCATCGAGGACTTCTTTCGCTCTCGCCAGTCTTTCTCCTCTGGTGCGCCAGGAGGCGCTTCTTGAGAGTGGGGAATACTGTCGGGGTTTTTGTGTCTTCTCTGTCTCCCTCTTGTGTATTATCATTTGTATGCTGTTTCACCTGTTATCAATTTGCTTGTTTCCCCGTCCCCATTCCTCTCACCTGTTCTCCCTGATTATTGTAGCTATTTTGTCTCCCCTTCTCCCTTGTTCTGTGCGAGTGAATTGATTCTGTGTTCAAAGAGCTACGTGTGCTACTGGTTCTCTCTGTTCAAGATATCTACGCATTTACAATCCGTCTCGTCTAGTCCTATGTTGTTTATCTAACCACTTATCATCCGTTCATCTGTGCTCTGGCTCACCTCTGCTCTGCCCACAGTCCACGATCGTGTGAGGTCTCATCTTCTCGGCTCCCTGAGGTCTGTCTCTACTTTTCTACTGCTAACCCAAGAGGGTCTTGAGTTTGATCAGTCCTACTACGACCAGAGGAGGGTCGATTTCTGACTGCCTGTGTTATTTTGGAGTGACTGTTTTCTTACTGCCCAGAGAAGCAGAATTGTTGATTTATTTCTGTTCAATAAATCCATTGAACTTCTCCCTTGCGCTTGGGTCTCCATATTTCCTGACACCTAGTTAAGCCTTTAAATGTCACTTTAAGCTGTATAGAAGTGTCTTGAAAAATATCTAGTAAAGTGTTATATACTGTCATTGTGGCAAAGATAAAATAAATCCATTATTAGAAAAGAGTTATTAAAACTATTATGTTTAGAAATGTGTTGAAAAAAATATCCTCTGTTAAACAGAAATTGGGGAAAAATAAAACAGAGGGGGGGGCTAATAATTCTGAATTCAACTATATTAAACTTTTTTTCTTTTTTTACACATTTTATGTTTATGTTATATTTTTAGTAAATTTTGAGCAAAGTAAATTTTATCCTGTTCGAAAATATAATATAATGTGGAAGAAAGTAAAGTGCTGGGGTACACTTACTGGATGTGCTGTACATTTCTTCAGTAATACTTTATTTTAAGTTGTTCTTGTTACACATTTAGGCACAGGCTGATATAAGATTCTCAGTTTGATAACCTCGGATAAAAATATCATGGTTCCAGTGCGTTGTGATTACTGCTCTAAAATATATTCTTTTTAAATTTCTGAATAAAAAATACAAAAACTTGTTTCCCTTTGAACACAATATATTTGATTTTGAGAAACATTTGAAATATGTTGGAACTGTAATCATGTCAGGCTAAATAATTCAAATGAATCATTGACTTTTGCTCTCCTCACTTGTTTCAAAACACATATTGTTTATTTTATTATTTTTTTTAATTTAAAAACGGCATCTTTGCATATATTTTTTTGCTGAAGATATCTAATACAGATGCAAATGGACCAGTTCATGAATGAATCAGATCCATAGACAGCTTGAAAGGGGTGGTTCTTTTTTCTTAAAATATTACTTGCCTCATTTTCTAATTAAATTATGAGGTTTAAATCCTTTTTTAAGCACTATTTTTTTGATGGATTAGGTTTTCGCATGGTCATCAACCACACTTTTTGATGTACCAAAATCATTTCCTAAAGATTTAAAAAAAAAAAAAAAAAAATGAGAATAATATTTATTTTTCAAATACAAATTTGCTGCATCATATATCATTAAAAAGGATGCTGATTAAAAACTAGCCATATTGTCGTTTATTAGGCAAACACAAACTAGCCAACACATTTAACTTTCCACAGTCAGAAGCAACAGCCAAAAGAGTATTCTGCCTGGCCATAAAGCCTTCTTCGGTGGTTATTTTTACACTTTATTATGGCATAGCAGTCAAAACCGGACAAATGAGCTTGCGCATAGGATAAATTTTGGACCTTTGTTAGTGAGGGATGGGTCATTTGAACCACCCGAACCCCCCTGACTACGGCCCTGTAAATGAATTGTGTTTCTAAGCAAATGATAATAAAATGTGATGGAATAAAAAGCTTTGGAATGTAGTGAAGTAGCCTAATTTTTTCTTTCAAAAGTACTTGAAAATGTATTTTAATTTGATTTCGTATGTATAGGAGAATAGAAGACCATGCGTCGCTCTGCTGCTAAATCGCGGGCTGATAAAAGCCGCACTGATTCTGCTGCAGTTAATGCTTCCCCTGTGGTCCAACCTGTTGAGACGGTGGACATTGCCCCAGGACGCCTGACTCCGTCCAGCTGGGCTAGCATCATCAGCCAAGAGGAGGATGAGGAGGTGGTGGCTGACATTATAGCAGAACTGTTGGAGGGAGTGATGGACAGATGCTTTCAGCTGTATCTAAAAGAACAGGTGAGTGGAGAATGAATTTTAAACCCACCAGTCCGACACCACTTAACCCACTCTGAGCTGAGATCGAAATGGCGACTTTCCGCATGGGAGTCTGTTGCTCTAACAAGAAGGCTAAAGACCATAGCCCCTAGCATCTGTCGCTCGGGCACCTTTACGCCCAATTCACACGGGGCGTCAGTGTCAACACTTTCCATTCATTTTGAATGAAATCTGGACCTCTGGGCGCCGCTTCAAAGGTATTGCTCGCTGCAGAAGTTGGGACTAGCTCAACTTTTCAAGCACTGATGGAAGTGTCAGCCAATCAAATCGCTGTATGCAAATACACCTGCTAGACAGTGGCCTATTGCTGACTAAATTTCATTTGCTGATGCTGCTATGACGATCGCTTCAGCCCCAACTTCAGACACACCTTCAGTCAAGCGTTGACCCTGAAGCCCAGTGTGAATGGGGCGTTAGAGGTCGTAGGAGTGAGATTTACCTGCACAGCACTTCACTAGCTGGCCTCCGTTACATATCTTGTTTTGCAACAGTGAATTCCGTTTTTTTCACAGTTTTTTTTTTTTATGCAAAGCATATGTTAAATGTTAAATATGGAGTTGTAGAGTCTTCATATTTTAATTATCAAGATAATAATTTATTGTACTTTTTTTTAGCTATTATCAAAAGGGTCACACTTTAAAATAAAGTTTCATTTAGTTAATTTACTTAAGAATAAACAATACTTGTACTGAATTAATAAGCATAGTTCAATATTTAGTAATGCATTATTAAAATCAAAATTCATGCTTCTTATCATTAGTTAAGGCATGAATGAAACAAGAACAAATGTAGCAACTGTAGCACTCATAGCATTAATGCATTTATTGTTTGTTCCTGTTAATACATTAACAAGTACAAACTTATTGTAAAAGATTACCAATAAAATCTGTATCAGCATTTTGAATTAGCTTTTAATTCTATTATTTTTTTTCTTTTTGTTTTAGTAATAGAAAATAAATTGTATTGTTCTTTTTAGTCTTTCTTATTTTAAAAATTTTTTCCTTGGCAATGAAATAATAGTTTATATCAGTTACTTATTTTAAGTTGCAAAGTTATTCATCACTATTGCAATTTTATCAGCTACCCTGCAATTGTAAGTTTTTTAGGCTGCCCCCTGTTTTGTGTATTTATTAGTGCTGTCAATCGATTAAAAAAAAAATATTAATTAATTGCACCTTTTAAAAAAAAATTATCGCGATTAATCGCATTTAAAATACTGAAACTTGTAATTTTGGCTATTCAAATGTAAAATTAATGTATACGCAAGACAAAAACAGATTTCTTCATGTAAACAACATACCCACAATAAACCATCAAGATCCTGGCTTAACAGCCATATTTATTAAAGAAATTAAAACACAGGCATGTTAATGACATTTAAATTTCAAAACAATCAATGCCAATAAAGAAAACATTGATTTCCATGTTGGATTCTAAGTGGACTGCAAAAAAATGCCAAAATACAGGAATTGCAGATATGGAAAATGAAAACTTATAATAATAAACTATAGAATACAAACTGTTGCACTCATTGAAAGTTTTATTGCTGTGAGTTGAGAACATTAGTTATAGAGTAGAAACAATTTAGCTTAATCCTCCTTTACATTCATCCAGTTGCTAAGACTAGGAGTATCCCGCAAGTGCACAGAGACTCTCAAATGCCCGCAAAATGAATGGCAAACCGGTCGTTAAATACATTGCACACCCCTCTCCCCCGCATCCCTCCTAGCTCTTCAGGTAGCCTATGTCGCGCGCAACTCACCCCCACCGTCCTTCAGGTACATCTCGCGCGCACACGCCCCTATTCAGATACGTCGCGCACTCCACCCCTGACACCCCTTAATGGGCCTGACACAGACACACACACACACAGACACACACAACGCGCTGCAGATGGCCCCGACGGCCTTCCATACTGGAGCGACTCCCCTCAGATTCAACAGGCATGATCACGTTCATCAAATTTGCTTAAACTAAGCGTCCTAAAGTATTACTGTATTTCACAAGGATTCTGACACAACAATGCAAAGCATACACTTTCGTTGCGTTTTATGAGGAAACACGCTAAACTTGGAGGGCTCATGCTGAAAGGCAGAGTAATGCCCTGTCTTTGACAGCTCGCGACTTCACCAGAGACTTTCTGATATTCAGATTTTAATATGATAAAGATTATACTCTTATTAAAATTCTACCGTGTGGCCTAAGCAGTGATTTTATTACCTTAAAGGAACACCGAGTCACGAAATGCGTAGGATTTTCTTTCTGTTCGCCATGCGGTATCAACTTACAACAGAAGTCGAAAGTTAAAAATTAAACACCCGAAATTGCATGAAACTCTGGATAACTTGTGATGCAACTAATTGCTTTATACTGAAACTTGCCTTCAAAAAGTGCTTCCTTGGTCTTATCCACATTTGTTGCATGTTAAACACACGTCCACCACAACAGGAAGTTAAAAAAAACCTGCAACTGCATTAATTGCGTTTTTTTTTTTTTTACGCGTTAATTATTTAAAATTAATCACATGTGTTAACGCACTAATTTTGACAGCGCTAGTATTTATATCAGTTTATATCAGTATATATATATATATATATATATATATATATATATATATATAGATAGATATATATATATATATATATATATATATATATGCTGTAGACGATTTCTCAGTATTATACTGCTTGTTTTCACAGTATTGTTTTCACAGTATTATACTGCATTTCTCAACAGTTCTTTACTGTATAAGCTGTGCACAGTGTGTTACTGTATATATTGTTGTTTTCACAGTATAATAATGTATTTTCAACTTTTCTATACTGTGAACATGGTTAACAGTATGCTACTGTAGATTTTACAATGAATTTTGGGAAAAATCAGTTACTGTGCATCTAAATACAACTCCACACACACATTATATATATTATGATTATTATGTTTATTTATTTTTGACTAATTATTTTGTGAAGTAAATAACGTAACCAGTTTCTTCAGACTGTTCAGTGCATTACACTGTCCCCTGGTTTTCCATTTTTGGGTGCACTGCAACTTCATTTTATAAGGTAACATGGAAATATTAAATAATATGAAATAAACATAACTTTGTGCTAAACCAAAACGTAAATTGAAACAAAAATAATTGATTCACGTAACTAAAGACTGTTAAACACACAAAATGATTTCAAAGTCAGCTTAAATGTCAGAGTGACCAACCTGCTTTAGACGGATTCATAAATATTGGGCGCCCATATTGGCCACCGTAGAGGTCACATATCTCCGCATTTTCAAAACAACATTTTAAAATATGCATTATCTTTATAAATAAGGCACAGGCTTGAGTTTAATACAACAACATTCTCGCATGAAAAACTGTTAAAACTTTATTTTATAACACATTCATTATAGACCCATCTAAGACAGGGGCATGTCTCAATAATGTCTAAGCCGATTAAAGCACTAGGTTTGCCGTATACATGAGTGATGAAGCGCCGTCAACCCCTGGAGGTCAGAATCTCCCCTATCGGCAAAGCACACTTAAAATTAGTCATGATATCTATAAACAAACCACAGATTTGAGTTTGGAAGAACTACATTCTCGCATGAAAAACTGTTAAAACTTCATTTCGTGACATATTAAACGCAATATTTATGACATGATCTCGCTTTTCTCATCTGCCATTACTATTTGCTTGTTGGTGTAAAATGAATTCTGGGAGAGAAAAAAACTCTCAAAACACTTCAGCACTCAAATGACACCGAATCGGATTGAACCGTTTGCTCGGGAATTATTTTATCACACGTGTTTACTTGCACATTCAGCAATATGTGTATAAATGTGTGTGGCCGAGCAGTATACCGATATAGTAATGATTCATTGTTGTGTCTTACAATAATATACGAAAAGGAATCGGTTTAGGCGGATTCGACTCTTTACTGTTCTAAGGAGCCGATTCATTGAACCGAGCCGAGTCGACCTTCACCAGGCAAGCAACGGCTATCCTAATTTGAAATCCACCTGTCGCCTTTTCCTCCAGTGAATTCATCCTCGGTAAGTCTTTAAAAGTCAAATTCTGTCCGTTAAAGTTTTGTTTTGTGTATATTTCTGTGTGTAGTGTGTGTAATTTAAAATAATTAACCAAGTTAATTTAGTTATGTTACATTATTCGACGAAAATTCAGTTGATGTCTTTTAAGCTAACGTTAATATTAACATAATACATATTAATTGTCTATTTCTCACTGGTTAATGAGCTTATTGTAGTGTATCATTAATTGTACATTTTATTTTTGGTGTTCAGGTGTAGGGAATGATTTGTATACAAATTTATTTTAACCCCATACAGATTTGTATGGTTGTACCATAGATTTAGATTATTAAATGTTAAGTCTTATTTTACTCTTATCTTTACTCTATATTTATCTGTTTTTCAGCTACAGCAATTGATGTTGAAAAACTGATGCTACCAATAACTCCTCACTTGATTGTTCAAGGTAATGTTGATGTCTTCCTCATTTTGATTAGATTTTGAAATGTCAATTTGTTCACAGATTTGTTGTGAGGAGTTTCATGTACAACCTCTTTTTCTTCTTCGAGTAGCGACGCAGTGGCACAGTAGGTAGTGCTGTCGCCTCACAGCAAAAAGGTCACTGATTCGAGCCTCGGCTGGGTCAGTTGGCGTTTCTGTGTGGAGTTTGCATGTTCTCCCTGCGTTCACGTGGGTTTCCTCCAGGTGCTCCGGTTTCCCCCACAGTCCAAAGACATGCATTGCAGGTGAATTGGGTAAGCTAAATTGTCCATAGTGTATGAGTGTGAATGAGTGTGTGTGGATGTTTCCCAGAGATGGGTTGGGGCTGGAAGGTTATCTGCTGCATAAAACAAATGCTTTATAAGTTGGCGGTTCATTCCGCTTTAGTGACCCCAGATTAATAAAGGGACTAAGCCGAAAAGAAAATGAATGA